CTTATAAAAAAATATATTTGTACAGATCGGGAATAACGTAAATGGAAATGCAAATACTTATTAAACAAACACATATGAGATTTTTATAAGTTTGTTATAAAGTTTATAAAATCTTAACCTTATTACAGATGCGAACTTTAAGAATTTTATTTAGTTAATGGCAGAACTTTCAAAGATATGGAAAAGAGCAAATAAAAAACTCAATTGATTTAGGATGATCAGAACCCTTTTGTGGCCTACATGGTGTTAAATTTCCAAAAAAAACTTCATTATCGGATCTCATTGAAAAAACGAAAGTTTTTTTTTAAATCAAATAAATAAATAGATCAATAAATTTTTAAACAAATATGCAATATTATTTTTTGTTCATGGATGGCCATAGCGGTTCACCTTCACAGAAAAGATTTCACACATGTTACCAGCGCTTTTCGTTTATCCGCCGGTTAAAATGTATCGAAACCGGTTTCAGAAATTTATGTCACAATTAGAACATAATTTTTCTAAAGGAAAATATTTGAGACAAGCAATATTGAGAGTATGTATTTAAACTTTTCTTTACAATTTTAAGGACACTAGTAAGTTTTTAATTAACATTCCTCGAATAACATAAGTTTGACTCTAAGTAGAGTCTCGTTTTATGCAATTCGATTTTCCTGAAAAGTTTGGTAGTTAGTTTCGGTAACAAAAAGTTTGGTAATTTAGTCCAGTTCAATTCGTGATATAGCCAATAAAAACTGCCATGCAAAAATTTAGTCAAAATAAAACGAAAAAAGAAATTGTAAAAGACACGTGAACACACAGAACGACATCTCTCTAAAATCAGCTTATTTGCGCTTCCTATGTTATTATCAAGAAGTGCGTTTCCACCAAAAATTCGACATCCTTGTATTCCACATTGTATGCAGTGTGATCATTAAAGAGCATTAGAAAAATATTTACATACATAAAAAACAACAACAAATGAACGAATTAAGTAATCAGTAATTGAGTTCTCTGAAAGTTTCTTACCAACGTTTGTTAAAATATGTGAAGCATTCTGTTATACATATACTTACATAAAATTAAGATAATTTCAGCACGCTGACTGAAACTATTGGCGGTATAACACTTTAAACCGTTCGTGAAATAATCTGGAAAAGTTTGTAAAAATATTTGAAACAATTTACCAGAATAAATGTGATTTCTTGAACTTTGTCAAGAAATTGATGTCTTTAAAAAAAAACTAAAAAACATAGATAGATAGTTTTTATAAAGTAGAATGAGTAGTTGGGTTCTTCTTTACGGACATTTACTAATACCAAATGCGTTTAATAAATATTTTTATTTCTGTGGAACAAAACAAGCATTCATTCCTTTTACTAACGATTATGAGTATAATACCTGAATAATTTTATAATTCTTTAAGTTTATTGTAATAAAAAGATTATTCAATATTTTCAAAAGTAAAAAACACTAAAACAAATTGAATCATTTTGCCTGAAAATATGGTATTTATCACACTGTCATCACTCTACTTTTTTCCTGGTAAACCTCGATTACCTGATGGACCCGCTAAATCTGGTCAGCCTCCTGGACCTGTTAGGACTATTGGTCCAAACATACCTTTTAGGTGGACCTGGTGGCCCCATGTAACCCGGATTTCCCGGCGCGTCGGAGGGGCCTGGAGGACCTTGTGCACCATTCGGACTTCCCCACAACAAGGAGCAGCTTGTTTAACTATGATTTGAAAGTTATGGTTATCATAATCCGTATCGGCTAATACTACAAATGTCTGAAACAGTACTTTGTTTAAAAATGGTTCATAGTGCATTATTTAAATCGATACATACCAAACAAAAACAATAAATAGCGTTAAAGATTTCATTTTGTTAATTTATTTTATTATTATTAAAAATTTATTTCATTTTAATAACGGTTTTCTAAGAACTAAACTCTTACATAATTGATCATCATTTATATACTAAAGTTTTGAACAAAAGCGCACAGTTTACCTTAACTGCTAATTTGTTTAGGAAATAATACATCAAATTTTATTCTAAAAAACAAAAATTATTTAGGCAAATAATTTGCTTTGCTTTGAAAATATAAAAAATATTTTAAAAAACATATACAGTTATATTTTAAAAAACAGGAATTGTAAATAACGGCATATTCAATAATTCTTGCATAATTTCTGGTTTGGAAAAAAATTTTTTAAAACGTGTGAAAAATTTTGTTATACACTTTCAGTAATTGTACAGTCAAGAAAAATTAGGCACAAATTATTAAACTCACTTCAATAAAATTTGAGCGCATAACCGCTCAAATTTTATTGTAGTGAATTTAATAATACTATGGGGTGTTTTCTCCAAAGAAAACAGCGACAAGCTTCAAGTCATTCAAAATAAAGCGTTAAAGAACTTGTTTTTCTATAATAGGCTTGAGCATACCGAATTTATTCATAGCCAGAATAGGATATTATTGGTACAAGATTTTATTAAATACAAACTGATCTTGTATATTCACGACATCTCTAATGGCGAATTACATTCTACCACTAAACTTACGACAAGAAGTGATCATCATGAAATCAATACAAGAAGCAAACAACAGATTCATCTCGCCAAAAAGAACACAACAAAATTTGGAACATCGACATCAATCTATAAGGCAATTAAATTATATAATGAAATTCCTGAAAATATGAAGACACTCGATAATTATAAACTAAAAAAGAATCTTCGAGAAACATATATTAATAATTATAGTAGAGTATCTATTAACTAATTTCTATTAAAACTAATAAATGAATTTAAGATTAGCTTTTTTTTGCAAAAAAATTTTATAACTAAATTAACTTGAACAAAGTCTATAATTTTTTTTTCTCTCTTTTATTTGCACTTTTGTTTGACTCTTAAAAGTAAATGAAGGTTTTGTATACTTTATATTGTTTTTATAAAGCCTTTTTATGAGACTTGTCTCTTTAGGCATTTTTGTAGTTGAAAATAAAATAAATAAAAATAAATAAATAAACCGGCCGCAAAGAATAATCTCTAGTTTGGCGGGAATGTTATTCTTCCAAAACTTAAAAACCCTAGTCTTGATTTTATTGAAGAGCTAAGAGCTTGTAGAATTGTCAGACAAAAATTATACATAAAATTTCAAGTTAATATGTTCAATACTTGTTTAAAAATTATCAAAAATATGAAATCGATCTAGAGTAAAGGTGCGGTTTCCGAGACTATACATATACCAAAAGTTTATCAAAATTATCGAATATTCAAAGTAAACTGAGCCATGAATTTTCATACGAAATTTGTTAGTTTGAATACCGTTGGTAATTATATTAAAAACTTAATTATTACTAGGTTGAAAAAAGAATTATTTGCGGTATTTAAGAAAGGTCAACGCCAATCTGTTTCAGTAAGATCATTTATTACATCATGGAGAGGCTATTAATATGTATTTTAATATTAGAAATTTTTAACTGCTTAATTGAATCAAACTTTCATCTTAGTAACCATTTTGTAAATTAAAAGAAATGTCAACTAATTTAAAATGTTAAATTTAGTCACACAACAACAAACAAGAATTACAAGGAAAATAATTTCAAATTAGGTTTAAAGTTAACTCGTTCGCTACCAATCGTCACATATATGTGTCACCGCGTTTCTTTACCACAGCCCGGCGACACATATAAGTGACAGATATTTTTGTATAATTTACAAAAGCATGTTTGAACATGTTGAGTATTGAACTAAATTGTTAAGTTAGCCCAGCGTCACATATTTGGGTCAGTTTAAAAGAATACTTATTTTACTTTTTTAGACTGTTCTAAATATACATACGTAAAATCTATTTCAATTCATTTAATATAACCACCAAAAAAATGTTGGGCTATTGTGGACGTTTTTCCCAGAAGACCCTGGTAGCGAACGAGTTAAGTTATACTACAAGCTTAGGCTTCCATCAGCATTATTTCTTTATTGAAGAAATTAACTTAATATGAAGAATTTTCAAATGTTGAGATTGTAAAAAAAAATAGTTTAATCCCCTGTCCATTAACTTATTTTTTTCCTGGTAAACCTATTGTGCCTGGCAAAGCTGCCGAAACTGATAGTGCTGGAAGAGTAGCTTGATCTTTATAACCTGGAGGTTCAAACAAACCAGTTATGCCTCGATCACTTATTCCGGTCTCACTTTTGGTTTCACCAAAGCATGAATCAGCCTCATTATGTATAATGTGAGATTTATGGTTATCGTAATCCGGATCGGCTAATGCTACACATATCTAAAACCACATTTTGTTTAAAAAAAATTTCACAATTTGCATTTATTTAAATCATACCAAAGCCAATATAGTAAATAGCGTTAAAGATTTCATTTTAATAATTTATTTTAACAACTTAACGAGCTAACGGATTCCTACGAACAAAACTGTTAGATAATTGATCATCATTTATATATTAGATTCTTATGCACAGGCGAAAAGTTTTCCTACATTGGTTATTTGTTTAATAAAATGTACAGCAAATTTGAGCAAACTGTTAACATTAATTTTTGTTTTTAATTCACATTATTTAAAAAACATTTTGAAAATATATTTATATTTTTGAGCAGAGGGATATTTGTTAAATTTTGTATTACTTTCACTTTAAACAAGTTCTTGAAAGAAATGCTGAACTCCTTATGGAATAGCTTGCATAAAATATGAATCATGTAATTGATAAGCTTTGGCATATTTAATTCTTGTCCTGGTACTCTTTACTGATAATTGATTTTTTTTAATTGGGTTTTGAATTTCGAAAAATTGCAAGGAAGACTTATTTATGTCGTTTTATAACATCGGCCGTAATTAAATTTTAAATGTTTAAAAGATAGAAAAAAAATTTAGGCAAAATAAAACTCATTAAGTTTTCTTCCCCTCAATCAATTTAAAGTTTTTATTAATCAAATTAAAGTTTTTATGAATTTTTAATTTTTCAAAATGTAAAAAGTAAACATGATCAACTGCCATTAATCTATTTTTTTCCTGGTACGCCTGGTGGACCATTTAGACCTGGCATACCTGGTGGACCGGCTGGACCTGTTGGTCCAGCAGGACCTGGCGGACCGACTGAACCAGGGCCACCTAATGGGCCTGGAGGACCTGGTAAACCAGTAGAGCCTGGAGGTCCTGGCATGCCAGGAGGGCCTGGAGGACCTTGTACACCACCAGTTGGATTTCCAACCTCCCCACAACAAGGAGCAGCTTGATTAACTATGATTTGAAAGTTATGGTTATCGTAATCCGGATCGGCTAATACTACACATATCTAAAACCATATTTTGTTTAAAAAAAAATTTCACAATTTGCATTTATTTGAAACGTACCAAAGCCAATATAGAAAATAGCGTTAAAGACTTCATTTTATTAATTAATTTTAATGAGTTAACGTGCTAACGATTCCCTACGAACTAATCTCTTCGATAATTGATTATCATTTATATACCAGGTTGTTTAAACCATCTTCAAAAAACGGATGGTTCTTAAAATCACAATTTGTTTAAGAAAAACATAGTACGTAAAATTTTAGTTCAAATAAAGAGAAAAAATAAATTATTTACAAAAAATGGTTTGCTTTATTTAACTTCTATTTGAAATTTACAGTATTTAAAAAACATTTTATAAAAATATTTGTATAGACAAAATATTAAAAGAAAAAAAAATTTGGGTAAAAAACAGATTTTGTAAACAACGGTATACTCAATAAATATGGCAATTCTGTTATATACCTGCATATAACAGTTATTTAATTTCAATTTTTAATACAAGTAATGTTTTATTTTGTATAACACTAAAAACTCTGAGGGTGTAGTAATTATTATTAGTTCAAAAACTATTGAACTTTATTAATATGTAGATAGCATAACAAATCAACCAGTTGAAATTTTTGTTCTGTATAACAGAAATAGCGTTTCATTAACAACTTACGTATCGAATATCTAATTAATTTCACTCTTCGTTATTAATATTAAATGTATAACAAATTGAGTTAATTACTGTTGTAATCTGTTTTTTGTTTTTAACAAAATTTGAGAGGTTCTTTCTTTATTTTAAAAACTAAATTTTCATTTTACAAAAATTAATTCATATGTTCTGTACCTGGCTATTTATTTTAAATTATCGTGAATTGATAAAACTTTTATATCTACTTGAAAAATTATTTTATTGTTCAAAAAAATTTAAAATATTTTCTAATTATTGATTATTGGACTTGGAAAATCTAATGAATTTAAGATAAAAATGGGAATTGATTCAATTATAAAAACAATTTTGTCCATGCCTTTAAGAATTGAATGAATCGCCCTGAAATTTTTAATAATTTTTGCTCAAGAAAATCCGGCGATTTTCTTTGAATATATTTTATAATTTGATAATATTGCCAACGTACCAAAACCAAAAAAAAACACAATCCACAAAGAATTCCATTGTGTATTCTATTGCGTCCATAAACTTGTTTTAATCAATTGATTTTTATTTTAATGAATTTTCCGTAAAACTAAATTTTCTAAAATAATTAATGGTGATTTGTATAGAATCGTTTATATTTATAATTTGAAAAGGAAAATTTAACAAATCATAAAGCTCGTAAATATTATATTAGAATAACCAACTTCTTGAAATTTCCATTGAGTTAATATTATTATAATTAACTTATTAATTAAACAACTACACATTGTATTAGTAATTCAGTAACTTCTTATTATCTTAAATTGAAAAATCTTTAAAAGATTTAAAATCGTTTAAGTACTTAATATTTTCCACATTATCCTCCAAGTTAAAATATGGATGATTAACTACTTGATGTTTTACCCTAATTATAGTTTTTTTTTTATTCCAAGAAATAAAACATATTTTTTAAGAAATATTCCTTTTACATATATTTTCAAAAATTTATTCATTATTTTGCATTTTAAAATTGTTTCAAATGAATCTTCCAGTTTATTTTCCAATACCATAATATGGATAAGATGCTGGTGAACCTTTATCACCTTTCGGTCCCATTGAACCTGGTGGGCCTGGTACACCGGGAGCACCTGGTGGGCCTACCGGACCAGGTGGACCTGGCATACCAGGATCACCTTTTAATCCACTTTGACTTCCTGTTCCACCACCGGCACCATCACAACAAGGAGCAGCTTCATTAACTATGATTTGAAAATTGTTGTTATCATAATCAGGATCAGCTAATGCTACATATATCTAAAACACAATTATAGTTTTATATTTGCAATTCAAATTTACTTATACTAAATTTAATACATACGCAAGCCAAAAGAAAAAATACGGTGAAGAATTTCATTTTTATAATTTAATATTATCACGATTCTTTTTGAACTAAACTTTTAAATAATTTGATCATCATTTATATATCATCATTTTAAAGAAAATTTAATTATTTTATTGATTTTTGTAATTTGTTTAAGAAAATATACTTACGCCGAATTTAATACCAAGTTTATAAGAGGAAAATAAATAATTTGCTTAAAAATTTAATTTTGACAGAAAATAACATTTTATAAAAAATATTTATATAGACAAAAAGTTAATTAAATAAAAACAAAACTGGAGCTCTACAAAAAGTTGTATTTAACAAATTTGAGACAAAATTTAGAAATCTAATTTTTTAACTGTTCTCTTCTATCTTAAATATTGAATATGCGGTGAAACGTATGGAAAATTCCGTTATACTTCAAGTTATATTAATTTCAGCTTTCCAGTTCTATTTATTTCTACAGCCTGGAACGTAATCTGAATGAAACTATGCCAGCCTGGACACGTAATCGAAAACATAATCTTCCAAAGTCTGTCAGTTTAAAAATGCCCACAAATTAGGAAATTGAAGTACTAACAGTAATAATACGGTCAATTTTTATTGCATTAAACTAATAAAATATATTTGTTAAAAATTTACCAAAAACAAATGCTCTTTTGCCACAAATTTTGAAGCTTTCCCCTTCCAAAAAACAAAAAAAAATTAAATTAATTTGTGACCACAACAAACATTTTTCTCAATAACAAATAAAATAATATTACCGTTATTTATTTTAAATTGGTTAAACACCGAAAACCAAAGGAATACCAAAATTTTGTTTCGAATGTTTCAATTTACAATGTTTTTTTGAATGATCGAATTTTCAAAAGCTTAGGGTCTCATTCTGTATCATACGTTTTTATGCCCTATAGATAGAAAAATATGAGTTGCTGTCATATCATATTCGTGTAATTTAATTTATAAATCGTATTTCACCATTCGAGATTCAATCAACATTCTTTCACTCAGTTTTGGAAGGTGGCAAGTTTAGTGAAAAATTCAAAAAAAATTTTTATATAAAAAAGTGAGCAATTCTATTGAAAAAATGACAAATCTGCATATTACTGCACCAATGGTCAGTTATACAATATGCACATAATTAAAAAAATGGGAATTGAAAGTGACCAAAAAAGATAACTGAAAAAGTGAGGTAGGTCTGATAGTGCAAAAAGTTTGAGGTATGATGGTAGGTAGAGTGAGAATAAACAGAACACTGCTATTGTTAATAATAAAATAAAAATTGCTGTCGAAGTTTAAAGTGTTTTTTATGACGCGCTTATGTTGTGTTTAACGTCCCAAAGGATGTACACGGCAGTTTCATCACTATCCCCGCAAAATCTGCACAATCAAGGTCTGCCGATTTTCTCGGCCTATGCAGGTGGTACTTTACCGAACAATGGCCCGTGTAAGAATTCGCAATAGCGCGAACCCGGCTCGTGCTTATCCCCAACAGCTCCACGGTGAACTTCTCCGAGCATGTTGGGAGAAACACCTTCGCCTGATGGCATTCTTTCGTGTTCCGCCAGTGAAATCCGCATTCCGCCGCGAACAAATCTCCCACGGCGGAAGAAGGCAAACCACAGAAAGGCAGCGGCTGCAGAAAGTCAGCCTCAGATCCTCTTCGCGCCAACCAATCAACTTTGTTGCCTGCAAGTTCACCGTGACCACGCATCCAAATAAGCGGTACTCTGTTTACCGATGCCAATTCCACAAGTGCAGTAAGATAGCTCCAGCCCAGCCTGAATGTAACCTGTTCCGACCGAAGCTCCAACAATGCCGCCTTGCTGTCTGAGAATACAAATGGTACGGCTTCTATACCCCCTTTCCAAACTGACTCTCCGACAGATCTCTATTGTATGTATTTCTACATACAATATCACCCAGTCTCACATATCTACGCAATCTACAATCTACAAGTCTATGAAATCATTGTAAACTAAGCAATAGCTATGCAGGTGGCAAGAAAAAAATTGTTGGTTGGAAGCTTATATATAAAGATTCTCGCTGTCAAACCTCATTTATTTTATTCCATTGATAAATAATTTGTTGACAAATTATTTATAAATTGATGGTATCGATATAATGTTTCAGAGCTTTATTTGTGATCAGGTTTTTTAAAAAAAATTACACAAAATCAAAAAGAGAGAATAGAAATTATAAATTTCACATTTCTTTTGTAAATTTTCACATTGGAATTCTTTATTACAAAAAAAATTAGTTTGATTTTAAAAAAACTGCCACTAATACAATAAACTTATAGGAAACAAATCAAGAAGAATTTAAAATATATTTGAATATGTTCAATTGTTGAATGATAACTTCATACATGTTTAACCATTTAATTGTACACCGGGATCACCTTTTGGTCCTGGCATACCTAATGGCCCTGGTAAACCTGGAGAACCAGGTATGCCTTGTGGGCCTGGCGCACCTGGAGGACCTTGTACACCTTTTTCGCCTTTTAAACCAGTTTGACTACCAGTGGCTCCGCAACAAGAAGCAGCTTCATTAACTATGATTTGAAAATTATTGTTATCATAGTCAGGCTCAGCTAATGCAAAGCAAAACTAAAATAAATGTTTTTATTAAATAAACAATACGACATTTAAATATGAGTAGCATACCAAAACTAAAAGAGTTAAAAGTATTAAGGATTTCATTTGGGTTATGTTATTTTTTTTTTAAATTTATTCTTATAATTAATTTTTATTATAATAATTACCAATTATAATTTTCTAACTATTTAAAAAAAGCTGAATTTTTAAAAATTTTGTTGTCATTTATATTCGTTTCAAATTAATATTATTGGCTTTCTGCGGCGGAATAAATGTGTAGGTTTACATTGCTAATTTTATAGCAAATGTAAAAATTCAGTTCAAAAAAAAAATTTTACCAATATTTACACAGACGATTCTAACTGATAAAAGTATTTATGTAATTTGAAAAAAATAACAAGATTATCAATGTGGCCAAATCTCGGTTGTTGCATTCTTTTGTAAAAAGCTTGATGTACATACACGAGTCCCGGTCAGGTCACTATAAAAATTATATTCAATATTATATAACTTAATATACAATACTAATAAATATTATGCAAATAATTTTCAAATACTAAAATAATAGATATTAAAAACTAAGAAAAATAAACAGTAAATATTAATAAGCTTAAATATTTAATATAAATAAAACTACAACAGGCTGGTCACCTATCTAGTTAACTTTATGTCGGTATGAAACTAGGGCATGATGTCATCCACTAGCCCTATTCTCTCCTCCTAGTAGTGAAGAAGGAAAAAAAAAATAAAATACACGAATGCACCAAATAAATTTTATTTGAATTGGACGACTTTAGGTAGTTCTCAGAGGTATCTGTAGAAAATTTCTTTTCTTAAAAGTAGATAGATCCTCGTACGCTTAGTTTCAGACGGAATTATTGTTACAATTATTAAATACTTGAAGTTAAAGACTTGTAGATTGAAACTCGTTTTTCCTTCAAATCAACCAAGATGTTTTAATGGTTGATTTGTAAATCAATCTATTAAACATCTTGGCAAATCTATTATTTTGTAGGATTCAATGTAGACGGCCACTTTTTAAGTAAATTATCGATACAGTTCTTGTGATTTTCAACCACATTTATAAACTTTAGAAAATGGGCTATTTAAATAATGTCTTGTTTTAGCTTTTATTTATTATTAAAATTTATTTAATTTAAAATGTTTACACTTCAAAAAAAAATCATATGAAATTCGAAAATATTTGTACATTTGTTCAAACTTTTTTGAACTGTAGCCTTATAGCAAATAAATTACGATATTAAAAATAAATTTCAATTCGTTTTTAAACAATATTATTAGGTAGAAAAGCATTTTAAGACGAAAATTAATATAAAACAACCGCCAACATTTAAGAAAACTATGTTTTGGGTTTTCCTGCAGTTTGTTAACCTAACATTTTATTTAATATTAATGTCTTCAACTAACAGCTTCTTCTATGACTTTCAGTGGTAGTGAATCGTAAATGTTTATATTTTTAAAAAAAAATTTTATTGCTTGTGTTACATGCTAGAACATTGGACATTAACGGTTAATGTTATAGTTTATTAATTTCGTGTATTATATACAACTATAAATTATATAACTTTATTTCTTGAGGGTTTGGGAACCAATCTGACTTAGTTGTATATTCTTTCAAACTGACCTAAATTTCGTTAGGTTCTTTAAAAACTATTGATAAATAATTTTATTTTATTTCACAATAACAAAATCTATTTGATAATGAAACAAGAACAACGGTATATTATTTTAATTTGACAAAGAAAAAGTTAAAGTTAATGTTGTACTAAAAAAGTAAAAAATAATAAAAAGTATATTTAAACAAAAGGATAATTTAAATATTTGAATAGTAAATAAAAACCAGATATTTGTTGGAAAAAAGGAAAGAGAATGTGTAGAAATAAAATAATATTTTAATAATACTTACAATATTTGCTTAATATCTAAGCTTTATAAGAATCAGAAATTAAAAATAATTTTAAGTCAAACAATTTTAACCCATTTTGTCCTAGTGTATAAACATTCACTAGCTCAGAATCTGCAATTCATCATTTTTTTGATGGGATTAGAATCTGCAATTCATCGAACTGGTATATTTGATGGGATTAGGATTTTGAAAATTGAATGGCATTCCATAAAACAAAAACAACGGGCAATGTTTGATTATGTGAAATACTTAAAAATAAATATCAAACTATCGATTTATAACTCAGTATTTTAGTCGTAACGGCAAGCACTCTTTTAATTTTTTATTCAACTTCAAGGGCAGAAATAAATTTTAATTTTTAGCACTTTTTCACAAAAAAATGTTTGTGAAAATAGTGCTTATTAGTTTCTTTAATCTTTAAAAAATGTTCAAAACTAAAGAGTAAAAATATTTTGTTGAAAACAAATGAATAAAATTTTAGACCTGCTATAACATCAAATATACGCAGAACAGTTTTAAATTACGGGGTAGCGATTGAGAACTCTAAATTATGGAGTAAAGAATATTGACAACTCAATATTAAAAAGAGTAGTTATGTGAATCGAATATGTAAGCATTGATGAAATAACTGTCAAATTCGAACTCATCTACATCATGTTTGAATTCGACAGTTATTTTATCAATATTTTGTTTGTTTGTAATTACTGAATTAAAAAAAAAATTATTCTACACACAAATACTACAATTATTGTTAAACTCAAATGTACCTTCATTATTTAAAATAATTCTTTAAAAAAATTACGCTTCATTAAATTTAAGTAACGAGTATTTCCTTTGTATAAATTAAGAAAGGAAATTTTCAAACAATTTTAAAAATTGAGAAATTTCACAAAAAAAAAAATATAAAAATAACAAATTTAATAATAAAAATTTTTTATTTCGAAAGAAAATTCTTAATTTTTCTTTCATACCAATTTTAAAAACACGTCAACTTTTAAAACTAACCTCAAAAATAAAAAAAAACACTTAACACCATCTGGTGTTGAAAAATTTACGTTATTTTCATATTTCATTATTTCCCTTTCGGTTTAATTTGTAGAATTTTTTTTTCAGTATGCCTTAATAATTTTATTTCTCAAGTTGTTATGAAATTATTATCAAGTTCAATGTCAGAATAAATTAAAATTATTAATATTTTTTTTTATTAACTATTAATAAAAAATTATTTAAATTTTTTTTAAATTTTCATAATGTTAGATTGAAAAGGGATTTTAATATTTGTGCGTGTGTTGAAATTGTAAGTATGTAAATCGTAAAAATCAATAAATTTCTAATTTATATTTTTAAATTTCTACTAAATTTTAAGGTTTTCTTTTTCTTAAGTGTGCTAGCATTATACATACGTATACATATGTATGTATATTACGGGAGGATGTAAGCAATATTTTTTGTAATTGTAGTTAAAACGCATTAATTTCTTCAGGTATCCAGCAATAGAAAAGAAAACTGAAATTATCTTTAACGTAATTGGCTTCAAAATACTAGATGTTACTCGAAATTTATTGAATAATTTTTTGGAGAAATGAAAATGTCATTGGATTTTTTCACAAATTTAGGAGAATTTGAATTGTATCTTTAGAAGGGTGGGTAATATTTAGCGCTATTTCAAATATGCTAATAAAAACTTAAGGGAGACAAAAAAAACTTATGAAAATGTACAGAGAAAATTTTATTTTTCAATTTAAATAATCAACTTCATATAAAAAAATTTATATATTTTTGTTGCATATGTTCGAAAAATTTCGATAATCTTCATCAATTTATGATGATAATCAAAATTTACATATCATAAATGATGTTATGTTTGCGCGTTTATTTATGTTTACTTAATAAGATAGTTGAGCTCTCAAAAAACTATGATTTATGCAATATAAAATAATTTATGAATATCAAATGTAATCAGAGTTACCGTTTTATTAAAGTAAACCGACTAAATAATCATTCTATTTTGTAAATAAAAATTAATGATAATGGATCGTCTTTTCTTTCAATTCGTTGTCATCTTTTTTTTCAAAATTCCCTTCCAGTGAGTTCTTCAAAATTAATAAGTCAATACGATTTCTAATCTTATTAACAATATTTTATCTTACACATGTGACATAATTTATTGTTTTCTTGCAGCCTTTTCTCCTTCACATTTCTTTATTATAATTTTTTCCGTACTTATTAAAAATTTGGTTGTCTCATACCATGACCGTTAGTCTGACATGGGTCTTACCATGTTACGCTAAAATTTTGTCGTGATTATTGCGCAGTGCGTACATTTCAAATGTTTATAAATAATTGAAGGAGTAAGAAAACGAACTAGAGAGGCGGCGAGTTAAGTAACGTGCGTAATTTGATTTTTAATCACATTTTTCATTTATCGGAAATGGTAAAATATAATTTTTTTATATATAGAGTAGTTTTACTACAAATTAAGTTTAAGCAGCAATTCGATAGTTATGTGTTAAGAATTGGTTTATGAGCATTTTATCAAAAAAACAAGTGTGCGAGTAGGTGTATATGTATCTATCATATGTTATGGAACCACATATTTTTTTTTTTTTTTTTTTGCAAAAATATTATTTTTCATATTCAAATTCAAAAGAAATTTTATAAGCAGATCCTTTCATCTACTTTTAGAAATATAAAAGACGGTTACAATTTTCTTAGATCCTCTTTTTTTTTGTGAATATGTTCATGTTATACATATGTGTGCACATAATAAAATCAAGTGGGTGTAATAATATTCTACATGTTATATATATAGAAGAAGGAAGGATATGGGCGGTTTAATCATTTTATGTAAGTAGAAAAATATAAATAAGAGATTTAATAAGAGGGCGTTATGATTGTGATTGCTCCTTTCAAATTTTGAAAGAAAACCCCCAACTTGTTTTTTCTTTCCTCTTCGAGAGTAAGAAGCACTCTTTTTTTTTTAAAAGATAAAGGATAAAAGGGCAGAAATGGAAAATAATTTGTTAGCTTTTTGAAAATATGAAAGAATTGTTGTAAGGTTTTAAATTTTAAGAATTTTTTTTTTAATTGTATTTTTGAACAAAAAAGGTGAACCTTTTTAATCAACACTTGGTACATTTCCCGAAAACATGGATTAATTTTAAACTAATATAAAATAGCCAAGTTTTTTTATATAAGGTTCAAGGATGTTAGATAAAAAAAAATGGTTTATTACAATTGATTTTTTTTTTTTTTAGGGTTTGTTTTTCCGTGTCAGTCTTAGATTCGAAAGATAGCAAAACTGTAATATTTGTATGTAGGTATAAGGTATTTAATTATAAAAGTTTTCATTATAAGATCCTTCAACACCTTTAAAATTTTATGTATGAAAACTTTCGAAATTTATTTGATTAATTTTTTAATTTCTAAGAAATGCTTGTTGGACCCCTTCGTTCCATTATAGTACAAAACAATAAGAACTTTCCCACATATCTTCACAACAAGTTTACATACAAAATGTAAAGAAAGTCTTTTCAAAATGAAAAAATTTTAAAAAATTTACTTTCAGTCTTTAATAAGTTGCATGGCATGCATTGATTTTGATTTTTTTTTGTAAATGTCAGTTTATTAATCCTTTATAGAACCTAATTGCGTTAAAATAATTTTCTAATGGAGAAACCACAAAAGAAAAGGGACAAAAACGAAGAAGTTCGACATATTACAATGTAAATAAAGTCTTTTCAAAATTAGTTTTTTTAATTTAATATTAGGAAAAAAAATAAAATGCAGCTACAATTGTTAAATTTAATACTTTACGTGATAGCCCGTAGATTTAGAACAGCCCAAAGTCATCGTTTCATAGAAGTAGTCAATTTTTCCATATCAATTTAATCCGAAATTTTGGACAATTCTTCTATAATATGTTTTATACGGTCACTTTTGGATTTTAGTATACTTTTCGCCAAACTTTACTTCAAGTGGGCCCAAAAATTCTCAATTGGATTGAGGTCTGGACTTTAGGGGAGTGTTTCGATCACTTTTGGGCAGTCATGAAGCAAACAGCTTCTTACCAAATAAGATTTATACTGCAAGCGGTTATACCAATAGAATTTAAAATAACCAACAAGACCAAATTTTTCGACTTTGTTTACCAGGTTCGTTTTTAAAATGTCTAGATATTGTTGCTTATCTACATGACCATCTTTAAAAAACAAGTTTAACACCCCGCGACAACATATACAACTCCAAAACATTACAGATAATTTTCCAAATTTAACGATTGGTATAATATTTTTGTTGTTTGGAGCCTATAACGGATTTCCTCACACTAGTTGATCCTTGCTTGTTATATAGCATAATTTTAAATTCATCACAGAATATAACAGAGTTGCAATAACGTTCTGATTCATCCTTATAAGTTTCGGCAAAACAAATATTATACCAATCATTAAATTTGGAAAATTATCTGTAATGTTTTGGAGTTGTATATGTTGTCGCGGGGTGTTAAACTTGTTTTTTAAAGATGGTCATGTAGATAAGCAACAATATCTAGACATTTTAAAAACGAACCTGGTAAACAAAGTCGAAAAATTTGGTCTTGTTGGTTATTTTAAATTCTATTGGTATAACCGCTTGCAGTATAAATCTTATTTGGTAAGAAGCTGTTTGCTTCATGACTGCCCAAAAGTGATCGAAACACTCCCCTAAAGTCCAGACCTCAATCCAATTGAGAATTTTTGGGCCCACTTGAAGTAAAGTTTGGCGAAAAGTATACTAAAATCCAAAAGTGACCGTATAAAACATATTATAGAAGAATTGTCCAAAATTTCGGATTAAATTGATATGGAAAAATTGACTACTTCTATGAAACGATGACTTTGGGCTGTTCTAAATCTACGGGCTATCACGTAAAGTATTAAATTTAACAATTGTAGCTGCATTTTATTTTTTTTCCTAATATTAAATTAAAAAAACTAATTTTGAAAAGACTTTATTTACATTGTAATATGTCGAACTTCTTCGTTTTTGTCCCTTTTCTTTTGTGGTTTCTCCATTAGAAAATTATTTTAACGCAATTAGGTTCTATAAAGGATTAATAAACTGACATTTACAAAAAAAAATCAAAATCAATGCATGCCATGCAACTTATTAAAGACTGAAAGTAAATTTTTTAAAATTTTTTCATTTTGAAAAGACTTTCTTTACATTTTGTATATTAAAACTTTTCTAAAAAATTTTTTGAAATACATGTTCCTACACCCTTAATTTGAGAATTCAGTATTATATAAAAATGGAAATGTTTTTGGTATTTCTTATTAAATCAATATTTCTATCATAAAGTAAAATTGTGTTAACTTGCAAAGACAATAATAATTTGCACCAATGCACCAATAATCACATATATGCACCAATAAACCTTTTTTAAGGTTTATTTCAAGATAAGTGACCTTCTTATTTCAAGATAAGTGACCTTTAAAGATACTCGAATTCATCAGATGGATGGCTTTTGAGAGGTTATGGTGAAGGCATGTCCCACACTTAGTGGAGAAGCACAATATATCCTCACATGAAGGTCATATAATTAACTGTCGGACACTCTGTATATATATATGTGTTTGTTTTAATTTAATAAATTTTAAAATTTTTCAAAATTTTCCTTTTAAACGTGCATAATAACGCGATAATTTTAATTATTTAAATTTAGTTTTTTTTGGTTAATTTCTGTTCTTTTGTTTTCTCGCTCAGAATATTCTATAGCTGGAAATTTTATACTAATACATAATTAACTTGAAAGATAAACTTATATTCTATAAAAATTTTAGAGTCTAATGGCTATAAAGTATGTACATAATAATTGATTTTTTGTATTTTTATTCATAAAAAAATAACAAAATTTTTAGAATTAATTCCTTTATTGTAAATTATCTTCACTTTTGTTTAAATAATAATTAACTGCTGCTGAAAATGCTGCGGTTTTTTTGGAAATTATCTTTAGAAAATTAACGAGCATCACAATGTACTCATATACATTTTTTTTTTTGACTTTTTATTCATTTAGTCATTTATTGTAAAATTTTTACAAAAGAATATGTGTGGGTAATTTGTCGTATGAAGAAAATGATTGTAACACATATTCAAGATACTAATACACACATGTATGTACTTATGCGTTTTGGAAATGAAAAGGAATTAAAAATGATTTATAAATTCCTATTGAAGTTATAAATGTCAAGTCCCCTGTGGAAAGGATTTTTTATATACCAAAGGTTTTATCATATATGACAGACAGGAAATAAAGAGATAATTAAAAAAATAAGTATATAATTAAATCCTTCTCATAAAAGTAACAGTATAAAATCATTTTATATATTTTCATATACATATATATACGTTTTTATATTTAAAATAAAATTATAAATTCATGAACTTCAATTAAATTTTCTTTGTACAATCCTTTTAATTACCTATCAAACTTTATTTAAAATAATAAATTTCTCCTTTTATAAATTAATCAAAAGAAGAGAAATTTAATTATTTTTTTTTTTCCTGCAGGATTCCGGTTCAACTCGAATTCCACGCTTTGATTTAATAAATGGCGGTAATACAGCAACATCGACTCGTATACCAATATCTGGTTCATTACGTATACAACAAAGTCATATTGTACCACCAGTTGGTTTAATGCAACCAACAAAAATTATTTCAACAACAACAATACCTGCAGCATCAGTACCATGTACAGCAACAACAGCGACAGCAACATTAACAACAACAACAAAAATAGCACGTCCAAATACTTTAACTGGTATAAGACAGCCAATAAATACAATAGCATCATTAAAAAAATCTTTTACTGGTGAAAAATTTACGGAGGCAGCGAATTTAATGAGCCAAAAAACGACAACAGCAGTTCGAAAATTTTTAACAAAACCGGAAAAATCAGAAAAAAATATTGAAACAAAACGTACAATTACAAATTTAGAAAAAGGTAGTAAAGAAGAGAATTCAAACGAAAAATTACAATTAAATCAGAAATCTAGAACAATTTTACCAAATGAAAAACAACATCAACAGCCACAACAACCTCGTTCAATATTAACACGTTCCGAAACATTTGTACGTGATGATAATACAAATAATGATGATGATGATGTTAATAATGATGGTAATTGTAATAATGAAAGTGTCGATTGTCCAAATTCAACAATAATAACAACAGCAAAAACTATACCAGCTGATTTATTAGGTCATACTTATGATATAATAGAAGATGAGTGTAATGATTTAACCCGAACAACAAGAATGATTAGAAAAACTCAACAACAGCCACGCTATAGTTTATTTGACACATCAAAAGATTTAATACAATCTACACCTAGAATTGATAACGTGACAAAAATTTTAGATAAAACAAATCTTATAAACGATAATTTACGTATAAATAATACTCAGCTGCTGGAATCAGCTTCAATAACTACTCCTGGTATAACAAATATAACTACTACTATTAAAAAACCATTAAACCCAATTATAAATTCAACACAAAATTCTGATCAAATATATAATAATGCAACAGCAGCAGCATTTTTAACTAGAACTTTTGAAAATACAGTCAACGAAGATTATTTAGAAAATACATTACCAATAAGTCCATTAAAACCATTAAGAAGATCAGAAACATTTAGTCAAATACCAAATACTGAAGATCATCCATTATTAGATGAAAATTATTTTAATGAAACTCAAATATGTGAACGTTTAACTGATAAAAATAATTCTGTTTTGAATGCAACCCTAATTCTTTCAAATCATAATGATGATAATAATGATTTTAATAATGATTATTTAGAGAAAACTTTAACAGGAAATTTAAATGATAATAATGAAAGTTTATTAAATAAAACATTAGTAATTGATAATAATACAATAACAATAGCACCAGATAAAAAAGATATGAAATTACAATTGAATTCAACAATACAAAATAATTTAACACCAAATGAAAGAATAATTGATATAACAACAAGTATTTCACCGCGTAATCATCTTATGAATTTAACAAGAGGACTATTAGATTCACCACCATTTAAAGATATAAAAAATCAAACAGCACTTTTATACATGTCACCACAGACTGAATTAAAACATTCAATATTAGCACCTAGAAAAGCAAGTTCACGTGCATCATTAGCAAAAACACCAGATGATTTATTAGAACCAATGGATATTGATCAATATGGTAATGTTTTTGATATACCAATGAATGTGAAACAAGCTTTATCAATGAATGCATTACAAGAATTAAAACAAAATACAAAACCGAGATTTTCATTTGGTTTAGATTTAACTGAATCAACATTAGATTGTTCAATTGAATTATGTGATATATCATTAGCATCAAATGCTCCATCAGCTTCAATTGGACCAGGAGGAAATATTAATAGTTGTAATGGTATATCATCATCATCAGCTCAAATTGATTCACCTGGAACATTACTAAAAAAACAAAATTCATTTGATTTAGATGAAAGTTTAGGTATTTTAACACCAGATCAAATGAAAGAGTTCCTAGATTCAACAACAACAAATAATACAAATAATTTAGATTTACCCGGTTTAATAGCACATCATTCATCAAATATTAATGGTTTAAATTTTAATGGTAAAGCTGGTTCAAAATTATCACTACATCAAATGAGAATTGATTTAACACCGTCACCAGAGGAATTACCATTAGATCCAGTTGATGTTAAAACTGATTTAGATATATTAATGTCATTGCCAATGCATAATATACATCATAACAATAATTGTATAACACAATCACAAATTTTACCTAGTTCCAATACGATAACCTATACGGAATTATCACAAACGGATACAGAGTCAAAAACTGATCAAATGACAAAATCAAACACATCTAAAGTATCAACGAGTTTTATAACTAGTGTTACGAGTATTACAAGTTTAGATAATGGTTATCAAGGTGATGGAGAAATGTCACGTCCAGCATCTCGGGGTGGTGATCATTCACCATCAAATGGGCCCAAAAATAAAAATCAAATATCCCGACAACCATCATTTAATAATCAACATCAAAATATTTTAGTACGAAGGCAAGATCCAATGACCGATTCGGACTTTTTTACTGAATCAGATGCTGATGTTGACATATTTCATAGGGGAGACCGTAGAGCACAGGTTGGTTATTTTTTTTTGCATACATGTCAATCGTTCTTAACAAATTTTTTAAGTAATTATCACATTACTAAATGATTTAATTAAATTTCCAGGTTATTGACGGTCAACTTTATGGTCCAATGCACCAACAAGCGGCCGCTAATGTTTTTATTAGTGAACAACCTGAAATGGAAGATTCTTGTATGGAATCAAGTGGTATTTTTACAGATGTTGAAAATCGTTGTGATGATGACTTAGCCTTAAATCGTCGAGATGCAATTGAATCAGCTGCAAAAGAAAATGTTTCGGCTAATACAACATCTCCTAATTCTTTACTGACTTATGTAACATCAACAACTGGTACATGTGATATTGATATGTCACCGGATGGAAGTACAGATACTGTAAAAAGTAACAAAAATGATACCAATTTAACTTCAACATCAGTAACAACAGCAACAACAACTACAACCTCTAATCATTCAAATAGTGATCGTTCAATTACACCTTCATCGTCATTACTTAGCCAAGGTCAATATTATGGTAGCGTTGGTGGTTGTAGTCATCATAGTGGTAACTTATTAACTGATTCACAGACATCAACAATAAATAGTAGCTTTAGTTCAGATCGCATTAGTATCAGTACTGATTATAACATAACAGCAACAACAGCTACGACAGCAACTACAACAACAGCTACAACTAAACGAAAAGTATATAATGTACGTAGCTCACCAACATCAAATGCTACAAGTCCAACAACAGTTTACAGTAAACCGATAACAGAAAAACGTGCAGCAACATCACCATTATTAAGCGCGGCGAAAATAAAAGCTTCAAATAATAAAATGAAAACGAATACTACTATAAAAAATTATTGTGGTGGTGGTGGTGGTGGTAGCAATAGTAGTATTGGTGAAACAATGGCAAAATCACCAGCGTTTAAAAATTCATTAAAATCAATTGCGCATTCATCAGTTTCAGTTAGAAAATCGAGTCCGTCGCGAAAGCATGTACTTGCTACAACGTCGTCGTCTGTTCGTCCGTCGCCGTCATCGTTGTTATCGTCGTCGCCTTCGCAATCATTACAATATTTAAATAAAAATAAACAATTAAATTCGGTTACGAAATCAAATAAAACGGTTAATTCGAATAATCATCGTAAAAAATTATCACTTGGTTTAATCGGTAATTCATCATCTTCAATTGTAAACGATTATCAATCGCCGCAGTCGTGTTCATCGACAACATCACCACAACAACAAATATTATCTAGTGATAATATTATGGTATTAAATAGTAAAAATAATTTAGTTAACGGTATTTCAATAAAAACTAAAAATACCGTTAATACACGAAATATTTCATCAAATCAAGAAAATATAAATCATCAACAAAATTCAATAACAGCAAATTCATCAAATAATTCAAGTTCAATATCAATATCAACTGGTTCAAATAATCTTAATAATAATAGTAATAATAATTGTAATAGTAATTGTAATAATAATGACAATAATGTTAATTTAATAGCAACACAAAATCATTATCGTTCAACTAAATTTCCACCAAATAAATGGGATGCTGTTATGAATAAAATTGCTGAAAATAAAAATAACCAGCAAAAGCTGGTTAAAAAAAGTTATAATCAAGTGAAATCGAAAATTTCAACTGGTATTAAAATTCAATTACAACAACAACAACAAGATAATATTGTTAATAATAAGAAAAATTTATGTTCAAATATAAATAGTGTTAATAATTCATTAAATAATGATAATAATAGTGGTAAAAATGAAAATCAAAATGGTGCCCATCATAATAATTTAAATAAGGAAAATTTAATCAAAGTTACAACAAAAATTCAAAAAAAATTAATTAATTGTAATAATGTTGTTGTTGCAACTAGTCCAAATTCTTCATCATCAGTTAATTCATCATTTGATTGCTCAGCAAATACAAGTGGATTAACATCACCTCAAACGAAACGCTTAATTCAAGGTGCTATCAAACGGTAAGTGCTGAAATTTATTTATAAAATTAAAAAACGAAAAGTCTGTCCCTGTACTGTTCTTCTTTGTTTTCTATAGGTTAGGTTTCACATTCTTGGTCTTAAAAACATTTTTTATTAATTTTTAAACAATTTTGAAGATCAGCAAAAATTCTTAAAACTTCCGAATAAATATTCGCAAAATGCTAAATTTAAATTGATAAAATTGACAATTCTTTTTGTGAATTGAAAAAAATTACACTAAAATCATTGAAATCCGCGGTTCGTTTTATCTTTTCCATTTAAAAATCAAGTACTTATGCTTACCAAGTGTACTTTAAAATTTTCTTTTAACCATTATATGTAATTAAATAGAATCGATTTAAAATATACAGACACCCTAATAATGACTACACAGTAAACAAATAATTAAAATATTGAAGGTTATTTTGAAGTTAATAATTATTTAGGTTTTCTTTAATTATAATAATAGTAAAATTTATTTGAAATGACCTTGATTTATTCTTAGCCATAGCATAGCGTTACTTAATTTTTGTTTTTTTCTACTAAATTTTTTGGATAAAAGTAAAAAAAAAAATCTAGGTAAATATCCGATTACTTTATAATCTTTGCACTCTTAAAGTTACTGAACTGTTATAATAGTAATTATTGATAGAGATTGTAAAAGATACCAATAAATTAATATTATACGAAGTATTGTAATAATGACAATGAGAGAACAAGTTTTTAATATATGTATGTAAAAAACGTTAAAATATAAGGTTTAATGTCGAAAAGTATAAGGGTTGAGGGGTAGCATTAATGTAAACTTATACAAAGAGCCTCGACGATCACTAGATTAATTTGTTTCTTTAGTCATAAGTGTATCATGATAACAAACGTCAATTCACTTGTACAAAAATAAACTTATGTGCGGTTTATAAGTACGCTCGTTTGTTTTAAAACAATTTCATTTGCAGATCTACATAATAAATCTATCGGAATCAAAATTTTTGTTTTTAACTCTTCAAAATTTCAATAATTTTCATTTAAATACAACAGCATTATCTGTTACATTTCAAGTCTAAAATGGCATTCATAACAGTACAATTAAGAATTTATGAAAGTGTTGTTAAGTCTCAAGTTAAAGTGTTTCACTTGAAACTTGATCCTTTTTGAAAGTGCACAAATTCAAATTATTCGGCGAACACTTATTCAGAATCCGTTTCACAATAATTGATCTTGAAAACTAAGTTGATAAAATTTATGTCAATTAGAAAAATTTTTACCAATTTTTTAATAACAAAATAAAATTTCAGTGATCTTACAAATAATTTTTAATCGTCATATTTACTTTTTTGTATAGAATAACTCCATGCTAATTTCAAAATTTTAATAAATCCCATAATATTTATTTTAATTAAATTTAAAATGTTCAATGAAGTGTGCAAAGGTTTTAATCGAAAACTTTAATTTTTTTTTTAAGTTTTCTACTTAAGTCTAGAAAAATTCTGCAATCATCGAAACCGCAATGCTATAAATTATTAAATACTTACTTACTTAAAAAATATTGCGAATTTTAAAAAAAATGTTTAGATCAACAAAATTATTAAAGAATATAAAAAATGACTTAGTGGAAAAAAAAATAAATACTTGCTTGTTATTTTTCATATTATTAAAAATGCAATAAAGAAATTACGTGCTTCACCTTGAAAGGTATATCACGAGAATAAAACTAATAAGAAAATAAAATTAAAGAAATAGAAAAATATCTAGAGAAAAATGTGATTTTTAAAATTTTTCAAGGTTAACTCAAAAAAAATTCTGAATGAATTTATGTAAGAGTATGTATACTTATATGTAAGGAGAGATGTTAGAAAATTCAAGAGTAAAAATTAAACTATTCAAATGATTGAACTTGAAATAATAATGAAATTTTTATATAACATTAAATTTTTAGCACAGATGTCTCTAGATGTTAGTGATTTCAAAATTGCAGACACAACTTAATAAGCTACAAATAAATAAATTCTCTTATGATGCGAATAAGAGAAGTTTGCGTTCGACCTACTTTTAATACTGAGTTCGGGCTAAAATATTATTGTTAACCATAAATTATATAATAATCTGAAGCAATTCAGAAAAACAAAATGTTGAATTGAACTAGGTAGTTGACATTTCTAAAACTAACAGAATTTCAAATTTCAAAATGAATTTCATTGTTAAAACTGAAGGAGTTTGTTATATAAAAAGCTATTATAAAAATCCTGTTATATAAGAATAAAAAATTTACCTGTTAAGTTTAAATATTAAACATTTGATATTTATTTGACGTAAGAATATAAAACCATATAAGTAAAGAAAATACGCGAAATAGAGACTAATGTAGTTGAAAGTGTTATACAATTGAATTAGTATAATAATATTTACTTAAATAGTTAAATCTAATACTATTCTCACAATTGTCTGTCTTAGTTACAGTATAATTTCAATCAATAAGTCATTTAATGCTTATAATATGATACTAACCAGGGAATTTTACAAGTGAATGAGTTTAATAGTGTATTAACGCATATAGATTGTAGAATTATGTTTTCTAGAACTTTTAATATACTTATAACTTTGGCAACAGTACTTTTTAATTAAATTAAATATTGACTATTTATTGTTCTGCGTTAAATTTCTTTCACTATGCCTCGTTGTTTCAAAAGAATAAAATAAAATGAAGGTTTTATTAAGCTTGCAACTATTTTAAACTTTTATTATTTTGAGCTCAAAAATGATAAGTGCACATATAATATTATGTTCTTGTTTCCGAGTACAACTAATTATTGCGAATGAGAATATTGTATAGCAGTTTTGTACTTATTTCTTTTCATTATTATACAAATATATTTTTTTATTGTTGTTATTTTTTTTTTTTTTATAATTATTTTAACATCGATTATTCTCTTTAGTTAGTTTTTACTACATTATATTTTATAACAATATCTACTGTTAAGTACTGGAAATAATTACTTTTTGTTATACAAGTAGTCAACATGTTACATGAAATTAGTACAAACCGCACATATGTTGGTACCTACATAGCTATTTTCTGTCTTGTTTTTAATGAAATAAATGGAAATTCTTTTTTTCGTGTATATTTTAAAGTTTTTGGACTTGTTTCAATTAAAATTTGCATAAATTTCATTTATAATATGAGAATATAAAAGAATGAAGTATTTATTCTATAAGCTCATTACTTAAGTGTTTGTATAACATTTACGAGCAGAATAGGTGATTTGATGTTATGATAGTAAGTGTTGTAAACAATATTATTGGAATTTATTCCTGTGTATCTCTTTATATGTTCAGGAAGTTGTGTGTAAAAATTTGTGGTCAAAATTCTATTGTATTTATACTGTCTAAGATTTCATATTAAGATGATCGTGATAATATGGGATTTTATGAATATACCTAAAAAAATATTTTGATTTGAAATCGATTGGAGCATACTTTTTTTTGTTGTAAAAAGGTTTAATTATTTATGATTTTGACACATGAGAACATGAGAATGTGGTTATGTTACACATTTTCAATTTTTCATAAGTACTTATCTACTTAATTTATATAAAGAGTTTTTTTTTTCATTTAAAATTCTGTTTATTGGGATTCCTCCCATTCTCTTAGTCTAACTTATTATGCATTATTTTTCATTTTAGCATCCCAAAAATTGGCAGATGTCATTGAAATCAATTGATTAGTTTATCGAATGCTAATTATAATTACCTTAATAGTACAGACAGTAGACAACAATATTAACCAAATTTTTGAAATTTTTTCTGCAACACTTATCGCAAATAACGTAAGTTCAATTAACGTACTAACATAAAACAGATAAGAGTTTTCAAAATTTCCCTAAAAAATTCTTATTCAATTTTATTAATTTTAATCTAATTTTTTTATTATACCTATTTCGTTAACAAAATAACTTATCTTTATATCAAAAAAGGCAATTAATATATTATTCTAATGCAGTAGTCAGAGCCGGACTATTTCGAACAATTGTTTTGAATAAAGCATGTTATTTGTAAATTTTGCGAAACAAATTAGAATATTTGGCTCAATGAAAGAGTCATGACGCTCTCGTCCGCTTATGTAATTTTATTTAGTGATAGGGTGTGTTGCGTTGTTAAAGAAAAGTATAATAAAAGAGATTATTTAATTTTTAACCTTGGTTGCATCCGTCACTGGCATTAAGTATTTATTAAAATTTGACTGTTTTTATTTTTGATTTTTTTTTTGTAAAATTTGTGCAAGTATTTCATAATAAATTAATTCAAATTCAAAAACTTAAACACGTAAATTTTTTTGCAATAAGAATCCATTCAGATAAGAGAAAAATTTTGCATGATAAGAAGGTCTCTACAATAATTTGTTATCAGTCCAACTGTGTTCAACAATTCATTTCTTATCGCTTAATGTAAATTTTCGTGTTTTATTTTTTTATAATCTTATCAATGAAAATGTCACAAGTAAAAGTTACTAAAAATTTTTTTTTTTATTCCTTAAAATACATTTAATTTACATTCATACATACACTTCATTAAATTAAAAAAAAAAAAAATTAAATAAAAAAAAATATTGCGATCACAAATTTTTTTGCGTTCATTCCTTTGATTTTATTTTAATTGAAATTTCAATGTTATCAGAATTTAATTTAAAATTGATGTACGAAACATAAAAATTTTAATATAAAATCTTTTAGAACAATAACCTCCTAAACTGTGTAACAAAAGCAAATTTGAAAAATTAGAAATTAATATATGAGACCCGGTCTGCCTTGGTACAATATTATTTGCTTGACAGTACGAAAATGGAACCTGAGATAAAAAATATGACATGGAAAATTTTTTTCCGAATCCATTCTATTGATCTCATTCAGGAGCATCATTTCACTATCAAGTACTTAATTTACCATTTTGTAGCTAAGGTTGTCGTTTATAGTGACCTGCAATGTTCATAAAATTTTTAATCTGAAT